CCCACCCATCGCGCCACTTGGTCTGTTTGTCTGATCTCCTCTCTTTCCTCTGATGCAGAACATAATTAACAAGTTTTAACTTGTTAGTTTGTTTCTTATTTGATTCAAATTTTATTAATACGTTGCCAATTTGGTAATATTTTATACACCAAACTATTAGCTGCAGAAAGAGGCAACAGCAAAACTTAGAACATAAGAACATAAGAGACGCCAATGTTGGATCAGGCCAAAGGCCCATCCAGTCCAACACTCTGTGTCACACAGTGGCCAGAAATACCAGTGTCATCAGGAGGTCCAGCAGTGGGGCCAGGACATTAGAAGCCCTCCCACTGTTGACCCCCCCCAAAGCACCAAGAAGACAGAGCATCACTTGCCCCAGAGCCCCTAGCTATACCTTGTGGCTAATAGCCACTGATGGACCTCTGCTCCATATGCTTATCTAATTCCCTTTTGCTTTTAATGATGCAGTACAGCAGGAGGTGAGATTTACTTTGACACAGTGTTAATGTTTCCACTCATTACTCAGACACCTAAAAAGAGCAAAATTACTCATAGAGTGTAAAATTACTCAGAGTGTGAGCTGCCAGAGAAGAAACTTCAACTCATAACAGCACTTTCTACTGACACTGAGTTTTATTACAATGGGCTATCATTCCTGGGGGGGGGGGGGGAACAGTCTTCATCAGAAAATGAGTAAAATTCTAACAGAACCTTCTTTACTTCTCATGTACACACGAATCACACTCTCACACCAGCAGACCTACCAACCATTAGGCAGGATTTAATTAAAACATGTTCACATTGTTGCATTGTAACACCTCCGAGGCTTTTGGGACTGATTCTGAAAGAAGCGGTAAGCGACCTCTGCTGTGCAAGCCAGCTGTCATTTAAATCCCAAGAGCAACATCTGCACACATCAAACTTCAGGGTTAGCCAGTAAATTTAAAATGTCTGATCCTAAGTCTTGGGGGCAGGGGGTACGGCTCCACGGAAAACCATTTTCTTCACGTGCCAGAAGTCCCAGATTCAACCCCTGGGGTCTCCAGTTAAAAGGACCGAGTAGTGGACAATTCAAACACCTCTATCCACTCAGAACAGACCAAGCTGACTTTGATGACCAAGGGTCATCAAGCCACCACCACCCCCACACACACAGCATAATCTGCTTGGAGAGCACTTTTGTAAATATAGCTATTTAATTCACTTCGCTAGGAAATTGTAGCCATCTCTATGACCCCTGCATCCTCTTAAACCAAAAATGTTGCATTGCACTGAAGCTGAATGCTGAAATAATGACAGGGCAGTTTCTGTCCATGTAGGACCTAAAGAGCCTCTTGCTCAGGGTAAAAGAGGAGAGCGCAAAAGTGGGATTGAAGCTCAACATCAAAAAAACTAAGATCATGGCATCCAGCCCCATCACTCCTTGGCAAATAGAAGGGGAAGTTGTGGAAGTAGTGACAGACTTCACGTTCCTGGGATCCCAGATCACCGCAGACTGTGACAGCAGCCATGAAATTAAAAGACGCCTGCTCCTTGGGAGGAAAGCGATGGCGAACCTAAACAGCATGATAAAAAGTAGAGACATCTCCGTGCCAACAAAAGTCCGCATGGTCAAAGCAATGGTATTCCCAGTAGTCATGTATGGCTGCGAGAGTTCTGGGCTATAAGGAAGGCCAAGTGCCGAAGAATAGATTCTTTTGAACTATGGTGCTGGAGAAGACTCTTGAAGAGTCCCTTGGACTGCAAAAAGATCAAATCAGTCAATCCTAAAAGAAATCAATCCTGACTGTTCCCTGGAAGGCCAGATAATGAAACTGAAGCTCAACTACTTTGGCCACCCAATGAGAAGGGAGCACTCACTGGAGAAGAAGACCCTGATGCTGGGAAAGATTGAAGGTCAAAGAAGACGGGGACCGCAAAGGATGAGATGGTTAGACAGTGTCACAGATGCAACGAACATGAAATTGAGCCAACTACAGAGGACGGCGGAAGACAGGAGGGCCTGGCGGGATCTGGTCCATGGGGTTGTGAAGAGTCGGACTCGACTGTGCGACTGAACAACGACTAGTCTCCGATCACTTTGTAAAACAGAAGAGTTAAAAAGGTGAGAATCATTCCCCACTTAAGTCCAAAGGCGGGGGGGGGGGCGAGGGCCCACAGGGACCCTCTCCTTCCCCTCTCCCCCACTATTTCTCCTCCCCCCCCCAGCCTGGCAGACCCCACACAGCCTCTCCCTCTCCCCTTCTCCTGCTTCCTTCTCTCCTTCCCACCCAGCCAACCTACTTTTACCTGCTGCCCCCATCTCCTCATCTGGTGAGACACGGCTGCTCGGCAGAGGCCCTGCTGATTTTCTCGCAGCAGACTTTGTTCCTCTATGTGCTTGAGTCTGTCTTCAACAACAGTTTCAACTAATCTGCATGGAATAGATGTTAGGCTAAATGGCCTGTAATTTCCTGGAACTCCTGCGGCTCCCTTAAAAAAAAATCACTGTAGCATTTGCAGCTTTCCAGTTCTCCATTACAGAGGCCAATTGTGTTGATCAGTTGCATATCCTGATTAGGAGACTGACAGCTTTACATCTGTGTTCCTTAAGAATCCTTGGATGTATCCAATTCAGCTCCAGAGACTGATTACTTTTTAATTTGCCCACTAGTCCTAGAACTTCACCTCTCACTACCTCTTTGACTTAGTTCTTCAGACACCTTTCGTGAAAAGAGTGGCATCCACAGTGGTACAAGCGCCACATTCTCCACAGTGAAAACGGATGCAAAGTATCTATTCGGCTTCTCCGCCATTGCATCTTCCTTAAGCAGAGTTCTTTCATGCCATCATCATCCGGTAGCTCAGCTGCCTTCCTGGCTGGTTCTCTGGTCCCAGGAAATTTGAAGAACTGCTTATTTGTTTCCTTTTCAGCTTCCTTCTGATTAGTTCACTAACTTTTTGCAAAGATTCACCTTTTGACATCAAATGTGATTGTGCTGGACTCTGAGAGCAACTTCCCACTGACAAAAATTCTGAACTCGACACCATTGTAATCACCGTTCCCCATCTATGGCTCACCCAATTTAAATTATTGTGAAGCCGCATCTGAAATGGGTCAGTGAGTCAATGAGGACAAGAACAGTACAGGGTATGAACTTGAACCGCTCTATGAGTTGGATACAGACCAAATTTCCAATGGGAGGATGGGACTTTCCTGCCCCCCCCCCACACTACTGCAACCCACTGATCTCCAAGAAACGCTGCCCCTGTGGGAGAGGGGGGGTGGTGGGGGTGTCCTCCGCAGCAGGAAGGGCGGGATCAGTGGAACTGCCAGTCTGGTCCAGATCCAAACCCCCCCCCCTGCGCCTCAGAACCTTTGAGTGCAGAGTTGCCTGGATAGTTAGAAATGAGACTGAAACAGGCTACCTACAGGAAAAGTTACCTTTACCTTCCTGTTACAAAAACGACAGGAGCAGCTAACATGCAAACCAAACTGATATCGTATTAGAAATCTGATGTTTCAAGGTGCTGGTGCTCAAAAAGGAAAGATGCTACAGATCTTCCCACACAGACTGAAGCATTTATTCAGTTCCCTCAAAACCTGGTTTTATTGTTCATCTTAACATCCCTCCACATTCAAACTGGAGATGCCTTGGTTACTGTTTTCTCTCCAGGAAAGCTAAGGGAAACATCTACGGGATTCTTTGGGTGGGATCCCATGAGTCTGCTCTGCGAATGATGACCACAGCAGGCAGCAGGCTGAGGGCCGGCCGGCCAGCACACGACAGCAGCTGCATGCGGAGAACGCAAACTTTTGGAAGCTTTAGAGTAGAGACCTCCAAATCAGAAGAACCCACGTTTAGGTTTTACGTGGAACTAAATCTAAGAAAAACTGAAGTTTAATTCAGGGTGCGTTTGGTTTTTTTACAGTTTTACCTCTGTTCTCACAATTAAAATGAGATTACATTACCAAGCAAAATTTCTAATAATCCAAACCAGACAAAGCAATTTCAATCAGCTCAAAGCTGCTGGAGTGTGACACACACACGCACGCACACAAGCATGTCCTGCAGATTTTGACCTTCACATTTCTTGCCTAACCAGGAAGGCATGTGCAACAGAAGCAGTTCTACTTAACAGGTTCTCCTGCTACTCTCCCCCCAACTTACTATAATTACCACATCTCACATACCTACTGTGTGGAGCAGATCTGACGTATTAAATAGCTTTCAAAACTAAATTTAGAAAAGCAAGTACTTAGCTGCCCTTCAGAAACAGAACCTCCACAAGTAACGCAGAAATGAGGACCCTCACTCCATAAAGAGAGACTCCTGTACTGTCTCAGCAACATGAAGGTTACACCCAGGTACAGTGAACTTTTCCTTAAGTACAGGAGCACAGCATAAAACTGAGCATTTTTTGCTTTCACCAACCACAGTTAAAATGAAGAAAATGAACTTAAACATGCATAATATAACTACATTATCATTAATTTAATTAAAAACTCAATTCCTGTTGAAGCCAGGTAGAGAAGAAAATTCACACTCAATAAACATGAGCCAGTTTTACTTACCACCATATTATAGGCATCTGGAACCTCAATTTCAAACTGAAATTTTCCACCTTGATAATAACCTTCATCTGTCAAGAAAATATAGATGCTTAAACAAAATTTGCAATAATGGAGAAGTGTATTTGGGAAGGTAGCAAGTGCCCTTTTTCTAACCAGAAATGATAAAACTTTTTGACAACTAGCAGAAGCCAAACATTGGGACCTCATCAGGCTTTGACTGCAACTAGATGAGATGGCAACACAACCAAATTTAGGTCCTGTCAAAAGAACATAAACGTGTGATGCGCAAAAAATGGGGGGGGGGGGGGGGGGGGGGAGCTGTGACTTCAGAGACCTATCAGGAAAAGAGAGCTCATGCACAACAGTTATGAGCTAAAAAGTACCAGTAGGGTTTAAATTACTGTCCACCACCCCCCAACACCCCTTTTGCACAGGCTCATGGGCAAACTTGGTTTTCATACATAGGTCTGTCATAGCCCCAATGGTTACATCCAGATCGGCCAATTTCTAAGAGATGACCTGTATGCAACGCCATGACAGATTTACTTCTATTTAATGGTGGTACAGCACACTGCAAGAGCTTAAGTAGCACCACATTAACTTTTGGTAGTACACCTGACATCCAAAAAGAAGTCAAAAGAAACCGCACAGTCCTTGAAACCAAGGGCTCTCTCATCAGGCCAAAAACAAAGCAAAAAAGCCCAGCCAGAACTCATGCATTCCCGCTGACTGAATCATCATCATCATCATCAAGAGTGTGATCCTTGATGCTGAGCAAACAACCCACCCTCAACCTAACCACAGAAGAGAGTCATAAAGGAATGCATGGGTTAATGCTAACATATCACCCCCCACAAAAAAACAACAACAGTGAACTGGATACGGAGAGAAGACAATTCCATTGAGGCTAAGGGGGGAAATCTCTATTGATCTCTCTCTCCCAAAGGAGTTTGGCTCAGTTCCTGTGGGCGCCAAGGTGACACCACCTTTCATAAGGACCTCAGAAGAGCCCTGCTGGATCAGACCAGTGAGGGTCTATCTCAGTGGTGGCGAACCTATGGCACGGGGGCCGGAGGTGGCACTCAGAGCCCTCTCTGTGGGCACGCGTGCCATCGCCCCAGCCAGGCCCAGACCATCATTAAAGTGTCGAATTCTCTGCCAAATAATTTTAAGTAAATGAAAGCATTTGGGATTGCTTTCCTTACTTTGTTTGGATCATCTTAAGTTAATGTATGTTGTTTTTTCTAAAGTAAAACCTCCGTATTCAGGTTAAATGGCCGTGTTGGCACTTTGCGATAAATAAGTGGGTTTTGGGTCGCAGTTTGGGCACTCAGTCTCTAAAAGGTTCGCCATCACTGGTCTATCTAGTCCAGCATATCCTGTTTCACACGGTTGGCCAGCCAGTTCCTCTGGAGGGCCGACAACAGGTTGCCTCCTGGCTCTGGGACTCAGAGGTTTTTTAGTGCCTCTGAACGTGGAGGCTCCCCTCAGTCACCTGGTGCCCACCAAGGGCTTTCTGAAAGTGGGTGGGGCTAGGCAGGGCTTTTGCCCAGCAGGGCTCCTGATTGGCTGTGGAGATGGAATCCTGTCGAAACAGAACCCCTGCGCCCTAAAATCTTCAAGAGATACTGTTAGAGTTGCATATAAAACCTCACTCCCTGACATCTTGTGGTTTTGTGATGGTGCCTACCAAATTCCAAAGGCGCCTGCAGGCTCAAAAAAGTTGGGGAGGGGCCCTTATTCTACACCACTATGTGTAGGCCACAGGCTAATTTTTAGTGGAGTTCTATATTTTGTTTGTTTCTACCACACAGAAGAGCACAATTGTGCTTTTATGAGGAGGAGGAGGAGGAGGAGGAGGAGGAGGAGGAGAACTGCAAAATTAGCCTTAAGCTTCAGGGTCTTGAGGCTAAATCCAGATAAAATGGAGGCGTTGCCTTCAAGAAAAGCTGCTGGCACCGGGGGGGGGGGGAGCAGCGTGGCGGACTCTCACTGGCACCACACGTGGAGAGCTTGGAGATGTTTTTGGACCTGGCCTTAACAATGAAGAGGCGACTTCCGGTTTTGGCGACTTGCAGGTGGGTGTGATCCATCACAGCGCCCCACAAACGTGCCGATGGGGGTTTCCAAGTTTTGCTTTGCGCCCTCTACTGGACCAGATGAGCAACCTTTACGTCAAGCTGGATACTTTGAAAAAGGAACTCAAAGAAATTTCAGCAATTAAGAAATAAAGCGGATGTTCCTGAAGCAACAACAGAAAGCAGAAGATGGACCTGAGGAAAGTGGAGGAGAACAAAGACACACAAGAAGAAGAAGAAGAAGAAGAAGAAGAAGAGAAAGATGGGGAAGGCTGTGATACCATCTCGAAGAGTCTGACAAAAATCTCTGATCCTGAAGCAGAACTAGGGGCTGTTGCCTCGAAACCATCTAAAAACTAATTTGGACTTTGATAAGAGGAAACGAAATTGCAAAACAAATTAACTCTGATAGCCTGTTGTTTATTTTTAATGCATAACTTTTATTTTATATTTACACCTTAGTTAAAGAGATTATGATTGCTTGCTTGACACCTTTGCGTAGGGCTTATTTTGTAGCAGGAACTCCTTTGCGTATTAGGCAACACACCCCTAATGTAGCCAATCCTCAAAGTGCTTACAGAGCTCTTCTTACAAGGGCTACTGCAAGCTCTTGGAAGACTGGCTACATTAGAGGTGTGTTGCCTAATATGCAAAGGAGTTCCTGCTAAAAAAAGAGCCCTGAATCTCTATGTTCTACTACTAAGATAACAGAGACATATCAATAACTTTACATTTCTGTATTATGGATCCTTGTTACTCTTTATTTTAGGTTGTTCCATTACCCTGACCCCCCAGTTTTGTAGATTAGAAGAAAGAAGGGGGGGGGAAACCATGAAGAGGCTGGAGCCAACGCTGAAACCATTTCACCTGGCCCAAAACTTAACTCCTTTCTTGGACATTGCCATTCTGATCCATGGAACTGTAACCTCACGCTGGGATTACTGTTAACGTGCTTTACATCATGCTGCCCTTAAAGACTACCCAGAACCCTCAATTAACACACCCTCTAGCCGCTCGCCTCCGTTGGGGACTTAACTGGGCACACTTAGCCAATGGAGTAAGGTAACCGATGCCTGGCCTTTCCAGGGGTGCCGGCCCTTGAGGTGAGCCCACAGTGCGCACAGCGGTGGTCTTGCGTGAGCCGCGGGGGCCGTGGTGAGACCAGCCTCAGCCTGGGGGGACGGACAGCCTTGTGGCTCATCCTCTGCCTCAAGCGTGTGTGAGGGCCTGCTGGGCAGGGACGTCTTCACTGAAATTGTATTTTGTGGCCTACACTTTATTTTCAAGCTACTTTAAGTCCCTGGGGTGGGAGAAACAGGGATTAAAAAGATTTTCACTAATTAAGAAGCATCATATCTGCCATCCCTCTCGCCCCTGATAACATGTGCCCTGGCTGTCAATATTTTAATCTTGGAGGTCCATCATAGTCTGGCACCCACATGCCTGAAGAACCACCTCTCCGAGTCAACCTTCACTCAGCATCACAGACTTTTATGGGTCACAACATAAAACACAATCCTCAGGGCTGCAGAAAAGTACACCAAAGGGCTTTAA